TTGGCTCAAGCTTTTCATCAGCAATGGTAATGCCTCAGTGGCCACTCAGCTTGGCTTGTTTCAGGGCTGTTTACAGTTCCCACTTCCCAGTCCTGCTCAGCAGAGTTGTGTGGATCATGAACTACAAGCCTACAGCCAGAGTTTGCTTGGTTAATCGACTACTACAGTAAAGATGAGTAAATCCTAAGCAGTCAATTCCTGATTTTAAAAAATAAATTTCCCTTTGGCAGACAATGGATTATTTTGCATTCTGTTGTATCTTCTGAGAAATGTAAATTGTGATCTACATTCTTATTACTGTTAAGTCTTTTCTACAGCTTGCCAGTGTCAGAAGGAAATAACAGGAATGATTTGGTGCAATTGTAGTGCGAAATCTGACTCTGGAGAAAGGGTGGAAGTGATTTTAATAGGTTCCTGCATGCTGCTCATAAATTCTGTGTCTACTTGGGGTGAATGTCTGCTGTCAGTTTTGTCCTTGCCGTGTGAATCGATCTGTTTCCATTATAAACATTTTAAAAAAAACATTGTCAGCCTTTGGGTTTTGGAGGACGTCTAGAAGTTACCTTTGGTGGCTGTTCTACTAATGTCATCATTAGTCCTAATTTCAGTAACACTCGTCAGTATGCCAAGGCCTTTATCATTCTCATCTGGTTTCATATCATCTTCTGATATGAATTCATTTTCATTCATGTTGAGCTCCTGTTCCAAGCCATAAACTGTGTTTGTTGAAAATACTTTGTACGTAGTAATCAGTATGGATCTGCAGCCATTAACATTCCAAATTACTGCAGATAAAAATTTCCTTGATAAACTGGTGTCAGTGAAGTTGCTGACATGGTATCCTGGTACAATTTCTTTTTCTAAAAGGAAGGGCTGAGCCCGCACTTTGCTCTTAATAGGCAGTGGGCAGTTAGGGGAGTGCACGGGCAAGTTGATCTTCCAAAATGTGATCCTCCAGCCCTGTCTCTCGAGAGGGAGATCTCAGGCCACATAATAATAATACAGCAAACACATGAATCATGCGATGACAGCAGTTAGAATAATCTGATGGGGAAATGGAGGTCTGGTTTTGGATTTTCCTTCAGTTACTGGCAGGAACAGTGCTGACAAATGGTTTTGGTTCTCAGAGAAAAGGCAGGATGATGCTAGGGAAAAGGTTGTATTAGAAATTAGGAAATATTATGCTTGTGTGAATGAAAATGAACCATAATAGGAGAAACTCAGGTGTCCTGCGGACCTATTAGGCTGGAAGCATAGACAGTGTTCATTAGGTCACCTGAAGCAGGAGGCCTAGGCCTCGGCTGTGATGAGTGCATACCACCCCGGTGGGTACACCACTGTCAGTAGGAAGACACAGACTCCACAGTGTTACTGATGCCAATTAAGCAATCTGTTGGAAGGCACTGTTGCACAATACACAATACACTACAAAAGCAAACGGCATGATACGTGAACAAATGGTAAAAATGGCATGGATGTAGAAACAACGGGAAGATATATTTGGCTACAGCAAATCACTTAGGATACATAGGCAGTGGGGAGGGAAGGCAGCGTGGCATCCTGTAGCCCGATCTCATCGGATCTTAGTTGCAAGTGACATTGGTTTCTAATATAACAGGACTTCTCTTGGCATCTCAGCAGCTGCTTATCTTAACTCACTTGGCTCATTTGATGCACCATCTTCTGTGCTCCACAGAGTTTCACAAAGCCATTGGAACAACCATCTCTCCCTTATATATAATTGAATAAGACACAGAGTCACGCAGCGGAGAGAAAATGCGCACCAACAGTGTTTGGACGGCTGAACTGTCCGTCAAAACCTTCCCCAGCTTCCATTGGCCATGTCGCCTAAGTCCCACCTCAGACGCAGCTTCACGCAGCGGAGAGAAAATGCATACCAACGGTGTTTGGAAGCTTGCGCTGTCCGTCAGAAGCTTCCCCAGCTTCCATTGGCCGTGTCGCCCAGCTACAGCTCAAGGCTACTGCCCTGCCATGGGCTGGGAGGCAAGCGCTGTGTCTGAGCGCGCGGTGGCAATGCGCCCCACGCTGCGGCCCAATTTCCCTCCCCCACCCGCCCCACTTCGCCAACCTGCCTGGGAAGCCGGACAGACGGAGGAGGCTTTCTTACGCCCCCCCACCCGCGCTGCTTCTCTTGCCCGCCTGGGAAGCCAGATGGACGGGAGGATCTTCTGCGGCCCCTCCTGCCTCCTCCCCTTCATGGACGGGATGATGTTTTGCAGCCCCCCCTTCTTCCTTCCTTTCTTCCTTTGTCTCTCTCTCTCCCCCCCCACTTTCTCTCACTCTCTCTCTGTTTCTTTCTCCTTCCTTCCTCTCTCTCTCATCCTTTCTTTCCCCAGCTTTCTTTCCCCACCCACCCACTCACCCACCCTACCTGTCTAGGGGCCCATTGTCTCCATCCACAATGGGCTTTGCTCCCTAGTAGCAAATAAAGTCAAAAGCCAGCATGTTGTCCCTCAAACCATAATATCCTGCAGAGCCATACATAGGCGAGGTCCTATGGAGGGAGGGCGTCTTTTGTTGCAACAATCTGTTTGCATAAACTGCCCCACTGAACATTATGGGGTATCTTCCAAGTGTTTACAGGTCCTTGAATGAAGGTCTCCCATGGAATGGGTGGGGGGGGATGACCTGGTACTGTATTGCTGCAGTCCCAGCAAAAGTCACATTTTCTTGTGGCAAATTACAGAGTCAAGGTGTGAGTTTAATTTTGTTCAAGGATGGGCCAATCCAGGGCCAAAAATAGCAAGACTAATAGACAGTAAGTAATAGACAGTAAGGAGCTGCGGTGGCTCAAGTGGTTAAAACGCTGAACTGCAGGCTCTGGAAGGTCAGTAGTTCAGCAGTTCGAGACCCAAGTGTGCCGCATGATGGAGTGAGCTCCCGTCTCTAGTTCCAGCTCCTGCCAACCTAGCAGTTCGAAAGCAAGAAACTGCAAGTAGATAAATAGGTACCACTTCGGTGGGAAGGTAAAAGCGTTCCGTGCGCCTTGGTGTTTAGTCATGCCGGCCACATGACCACGGAAACGTCTTCGGACAGTGCTGGCTCTTCGGCTTTGAAACGGAGATGAGCACCGCAACCCTAGAGTCGGATTCGACTGGCTTTTGAGCAAGGGAACCTTTACCTTTTTTAATAGACAGTAAGTCTGAAAAAGTGTCTGGACATCATTGATAATTGCTGCCATTATATCTTGACAATGTTTCCATGTGTTTTATGCTCACCAACACTTTTGCTTTCCCACAAACTCATTTACTTTCCCCACATTTCTTCCTCCTTGCCCTATTAATACCATAATTCACAGGCATATATCTACGTCGGCACTAGGGAAGCATGGCAGTAGCCCTTGAGCCACTGATGAACTCTCCTCTCTCCCCATCCTGTCCCACTCCACAGTGCATAGGGCCTTGATTTCATAGCCATGCAGCTTGCCAATCCCTTAATACACAGTACGAAGCTGGGTTTGTTCAAGTGGAAGAAGGAAACAAGGATTCCCTGTATACTGAGGTTGAGAGCCAAAGACTGGATCTTGAGCTTTAGTGCCACTATTCATGGTTGGTTCATCAAAATAATCCTAGGTGAATGCTAAAGGGGGAAATGTACACAGAAAAAAATCTTCAGGGATGTGCACACCAGTATTTTCTAGACCATCCTCAAAATAGAGGTGGAATTCAGCACGAATAAGGGTAGTACATTGGTTAGAGTGGCACACTAGGACCTGGAGGATCCAGTACCCACAGCTGTGAAGTTCACTTGGTAACCTTGGTACACGCATACTCTCTCAGCCTAACCTATCTCACAGAGCTCTTGTAAGGACAAAGTGAAGGAAGAACATCTACACCATCTTTAATTCCTTGGAAAATAGGTGGAGTGAAAACGAATATAAAATAGAACATCTGTGTCTATCAAGATAGCTACATGACCAGTGGAAGAGGAAAAGAAAGCCATGGTGCTTCAAGTGGAAGAAGCGCAGTGAAGGAACCAGCCAACAAAAAGGATAGCCAGTAATCCTGATGGAGCATGCATAGTTCTGTATAATCCTGACTGGAATTATGCATGAGATTACATAGGACTGGGGACAGAAAATTTAAATTGTCAGCATTGCCAAATGAATAATTATTCCGATTAAGCAGACAGCTGCATATCAGTTGCTCTGTTACCACACGTTTTTGTTAATAATTTTCACATTATTCCACACAGTGGCACACTTGACTGTCGTAAGAGTAGAATATGCAGTCACTGTCTCTTTAGGTGAATTATAGTGAATCCAGTAGGTTTTAAATCCAATTGACTTTCAATATTTAGCAACACAGCTGCGTCAGTTTGGTTTCCCTTACTATTTTATGCTTGTGCATGTTTGGCAAATTCTGCACACTGAGCACATGGTGGAATCATGCAGTCAGCCCCTTTGTTCTTTACTTTAAACTTGCCTCATCTCCATGCGTTTGCCTGTAACATATAAAAATCTAATTTGAGGGGGTCAAGTTCATGTGTTTTGGGGTATATGTGTAATGCAGTGTATGTGCCATTTATATGATACAGCAATCATGTGGCAATTTGAGGGTGGTCTAGTGTGATCTCATTGATCTGTCATATTTGGTACACACCATTTGCTGAGTGGGTCCATAGCTCCTTGGGCATTTCTTGGAAATTCTCACCAATAGTTTACTTACTTTCTTAGCTCACTTTTCTCCCTGAAACTCCACATTTAGCATTGCAGTAGATTACGGGCCTACAGAGGTAAACAGCACAAAAAAACTCCGTTAAAAGACAATGCAGTAAAAACAAGATAATATCTCAGACAATGCAATGAACTACAGCCATCCTAAACAACTCCATTTTACTACAGCCCTATTCCCTTTCATAAAAATGACCTCTGACATCTACATTTGTCACCTCTGTGGGAAATTATATAAAGCAGCTATTTCATTTTTTCGTTCCTATGTCTGCTCCCTCTGCCCCCATCTCCTTTCCCTCTGTTTCAGATGCTTTCTAAATCAATTGAACAGTTAAAGCAGCCTGGCAGCCTAGAAGAAACGGAAGAAGAACTCCATGGAGAGCATCCTATGCAGGAAGAAAGAGCGCCCTCTGTGGCCAGCAGCATTAGGGATGACAGCAGTAGTATTTCTTTGGACGACAGACTGGAACAGCCTTTGGGGGCTGTGAAGGTAAAAGAGGAGCCACGGGACAGTGATGACGATATTCAAACTCAGCAAATGGAATCTGGGGAGAAGGCTGCTTTTATGCAACAGGTAATAGGCAAAGATTTAGCTCCAGGCTTTGTCATTAAAGTGATTATTTGAGTACTACCATAATGAGTGCTTTTGAATCCTTGATGAACAAAAACTGTTTTTTCCATCCACAGAGATAAATTGAATTGCGTTTTATTAGCGTTCAGCGGATATAGCAAAGGCAGAGACGTGTTCGCAGCCTCAACATAGTGAGAAAGTGCTTGTTAAATCAACGAACACTCGTTGCTGTGTAAGCCTTTGGGTTATGCTTAGAACTTGTATTAGCTCAAATGGATTCTACCACATTAGTTAGTTCTAGTGACATGGAACTCATTGTTGTATGGATTTATTGTGGAAATCAGCTCGGTCAGACCCAAGAACTGCTTTCTCTCTCTCTCCAATGCTAAACTTCTTTGACTTGTCTCTCAATGTATGCTTTCATCAATTTGTATATAATGTACCATACTATAGTCCTAAACACTGTTAAAGGGGGGGGGGTTTCCTCCCCTTGTTAGGTACTGGTCCTAATATTGGTGGTCTGAGCTTTGTATATAGAGTATGATCTTGAGGAGACACAGGTGGAAGACAAAAGAAGAAAATCATGGATGCACTTTGAAAAATGAAATTAGTTTTCCTTTCTGAATGAATTAGATTACTGCTCCATCTTTGATCTCTAGCAGGATCTGTTTCATTTGAGGATATTTCCATGTGCAGCCTCTTACAGTCCAGCCAAATTCATAATAACTTTATTTAGTCTTCATTCATCAGTTTGCTTCTGTAGTAGAGACGAAATAACATGATAGGTTTACATGCATGCTTATTAAGTCAAAGGGTGACACATTTATAAGGTTTCCAAAGCCCCAATTTTGGAGTCAATTTTTTCCGATTGACTCCTTTCCTAGTTAGAAGGGCAACCACCTATTCATTCCAGAGTATCCTATCAAAGGACTGGAACTGCTCTGAAGTAATTCTGGTCTTAGTGTGTTAGACTCATCCAGAATCCTGGCCACAAGTGAATCCAACAATGTGAAAGAGCAACAACTTCAGTTATTGTGTGTACCAAGCAGGGGCAGGGCTAGGCTTCCTTGGGGAAATTTGCCCAAGGATGTATAAAAACAGAAGCCAGGTTGGCAAATGGCATTTAATGGTTTGCAATAGTATTTAAGTTGTGATTAAGGCATGCCTGAAGTTTTACATCATTGTGACTCCAGAAGGATCATAGTACATTTTGAATACTATCAGATCAGACCAACTTGGTATGCAGTAGAAGTGGCTGTTTACTTAAGTCAGCGCTGTGTCAGGTCCCTGCTGTTCTCCAGCAAAAAAGTAATTTTGTGAAGGTGGACAGGAAATGCCTTATGGAAACAGGAAGTCCAAGTGATTCATGCATTATGGAATGTAAGAGGGGGGCAAGGAGAAGCAGGGGATAGTGTTTTATTCTCTGTTTTCTAAAGGGCACTCTATGAGTTGATTTATTGTCAGAGAAAATAAGAAAGCAAGTAGGGAAATTGTTAAGGAAGCTTTCCAGTGAAACATTTCCTTTATGTTCCCTTTTGATATGTTTACTTTGTTTTCTAGGTTTACTTTTGTTAAGCTAAAGATTCATTGTATTAAGACCCCTGTAATATGGATAATCCAAAACTGACCTGGAATTCTTGTCAGTTTTTTTTCTATTAAAATATTTATATTTCTAACGTATTTTAAGGTGCAGTATCCTTTTCAAAAGAGAGAGCTGTTTTGCCAAATGGAAAAGATGTTTTAATATAACCAAGCGGTGTTTACATTTTCTCTTACTTCTAGAAGCCTTTATAAAATGTTGCAGTTACTAAAGGTACATTATCCTTTTCCCCTTAAAAACATTAAATATTTGTATCAGCGACAGCAAAAATCTTCAGACTTGTGGGATCAGCAAATAAGACCTGCTTCACATGTAAGAGAGATATCACGTCAGGGTAGAAAAAGGCATAAATGCTATATGTATAGTATCACATGTGACAAATGTACATGGCATAGAGAAGGGATGGTAATGGCCCATTGCACCTTCCCATCACATCTGTGCACAGCAAAACAAGTGCATGTATTAGTTGCATGTGATGATGTGCATGCAATTTCTTGAACAGAAGGAGAAAAATAAAGATGTATGAAGCAACCTCAAGAATTTAGGGAATTGCAATAGTACAGCTGTCTTGATATGTTCAGATGCATATATTGTGGCAGTCAAGGAGATCTGTTCAGCATTCCTATTCCCTGGAATCCAGCTGAGTAGGGAGCTCAGTTGGTATCAGTCCTTAGCAGGCTGTAGTCTTCAGTGATTTTCATAATCTAGATGGCTGGCTTTCCAGAATCTCTGTGATGTTCGCTTATGTTCCTGGCTCTGTGCTCTGCTGCTGAACCAGAAGCACAGACAGTTCTCAGAACAAGCAACACTTATTTTTCTTTATTGGTGTTGCAGGTAGGCATGCCAGTGGTGATAGGGCTCTTTTTGTAGAAAAAGCCCAGCAGGAACTCATTAGCATAATAGGCCACACCCAACAGCAGAAACTCATTAGCATAATAGGCCACACCCCTGACAGCACAGCTCATTAGCACATTAGGCCGCACCCCCATGTTACCAGAAGTGTGGTCATCCAGCCACACCCACCTTTCCCTTCTTATTCTGGTTACCTTGTTTGTTCTCAAAACCCAGGGCTTTTTTTGTAGCAGGAACTCCTTTGCATGTTAGGCCACACACCCCTAATGTAGCCAATCCTAATGAGTTTCTGCTGTTGGGTGTGGCCTATTATGATAATGAGTTCCTGCTGGGCGTGGCCAACTTGGGAGCCAACCGGAACTCCGTTCCTGTGCGTTACTGCCCAAAGACAGCCCTGGAGTCTTTGTTGATCATAGTGAGGTTTGAGGGCTTAAATACTACTATAGAATCTGCTCTTGTTCCTTAATCAAGAACTGCTAAAACGGACTTTTAGAATCTCAGCACAGATACAGAGGAACAGGTATGGTCTGGATCCGAACCAGCTTTTCAAAGAAGACTTTGCTGGGGATCATAGGACCTGCATGGACAGAAGCCATGTGGGACCTGAGCTGTAGTATGGAGGCGAGTTGGGCTAGATTGAGTGGAGAAGCTGGCTGGATCCAGCCCTATGATTGCTTCTTGTACACATTTTTTTCTAGTCATACAGTCTAATTTTAGCCCACTCAAAAAAAAGGATAGTGCATCTTTTAAAATACATTTTATTTGGGTAGGAATCTGAATACATGCAACCTTTTGTACAATACTTGTTTCAAAAATATGTGTAACTACAAAGATATTTTTATAATGCAGTTGAGGGGAATGACCTAGTATAGTCAGTAGGCTTCCAGGCCACTGAAAATTTTAAAAAAGAAACTACCTGGAACCAGTGAAAAGGAAAACTGGGTTTAAGCAACCATATTTCTGATTGCTAAATGTCACATTTTAAATCTACTGTATTTATTATAATTTACACCTTTGGTGATCTCTTGTTTTGTGTTGTAAATATATTCTGTTTGTATGTTCCATATTTTGCCTTCCAATACCAGTCTATATATTCCTTTCTCAAATAAAGTTTTTTTTTTCTCAAAAGATCCCTTTCACATACTTGGCTTTGTGTAACGTTGATAAATCAAAGTAAGTACGTTCTCTGTCATATAGGCAAATATATTTGCTTATTATTACTGAAGCTGATTTAGGACCACACGTCTTTAAATTACACAAAATCTGTTTTTGGTCTGTGACTTGATCCCACTTCAACCATTATACATTGTGCAAAAATGGAAATCATATCTCTGCATGTTCACTTCTCCTCATCCCATTTGTCATGCACATGTGGATCAGCCACAGTATCTTCTTGAAAACTGCCACACAAGTCAATGCCAATGGCATGCGCCACTCCCAAGAGTCTCCTAAGTGT